TAATTTAATTCGATTAGCATTAGTTAATATATTAATATTTTGTAATTCTGCTAAAATAATTTTATCTTTTCTATTCATTTTATTAATTATAAAAATTTTCTTTAATTTCGTTGCGAGACTCTGATACCAATTATAGAGTAAAAATGAGGAAAATAGTTAAAATGTAAGACTTAAGGGTATAATAGACAATGACAAAATAATAGACAATTCAATCTCATTCGTCAATTAAAATTCATCCAAACCATACACCTAATTTTGTCAACAATCTTTGTCAACAAACTTGGTACAAATNAAATAAATAATAAGATAATGGACAATTCAATCTCATCTGTCAATTAAAATTCATCCAAACCGTACACCTAATTTTGTCAACTATCTTTGTCCACAAACTTGGTACAAATAGATTAATTCTAAAAAAAAAACAATTGAAATAAGCCCAAGATTAAAATTCGATTTTAATTTCAAATTAAGGTCAATAATTAATTTTAATCACTCATTTTATGGGATTCGCAATTTTTTTAATCACAAATTTTATCAAATTTTATAATAATTTACTAAAAAATAAATAGGGCCCCATTTCTACAATTATACCAATGGTTGACAATTTTGTTTACATTCGTTGACATGTTACACAATTTTACCATTGCTTTTAATAACATTTATTAAAATCAATTTGCTCGATTTTGACACCTCAAAGACTGGTTGTAAACTAGCTTAATTCTTCACAGTTAAAACTCTAAATTATTATTTCCTCCTCCTCCTCCTCCTCCCTTCCTCTCTCCCCCTATTGTCTTCTTTATCTCCTCACTCTTTATCACACATGGAAGATCACCACCTAGAGACTACAACAACGGCGCTCACAGCTGTATGAATGACGCTCGCAGCACCGATGGTTTTGGGGTGGCTTTAAGTTGTTTCTTTCTCCTCTGATCTGCTGCTTAGTTGGAGTTTAGGGGTACTTTTGTTGGTGATTTGCAAATGTTACAGATGGTGTTGATGGTGGTGCGACGATGACGACGACGACGACGATGCAGTGGTGGTGGTTCTAGTGGTTGTGCAGGTGGTGTTGGTAGTGGTGAGGGGGCGCGACATTCAGTTGGTGCCGATGGTGAATTGTGGGGTGGGTTTGTAACCAATTATTTGGATGAATGTGACCAATATGTTGATTAATTTGTAATCAATAAATAATAAGTGACCTAAAAAATGTGAAATTGCGAATAAATTTGTAATTTTGACTCACAATTTGCTAGGTTGTGATTAATTAATTTGATAAATTGTGATCGTAAAACAAGTTGTGACCTAGAAAATTTGCGATTTGTGATCAAGAAATAATATGTGACATATTAATTTAATAATTTGTGATCGATAAATAAAGTGTTGTTTATAAAATTTGTGATTTGTGATCGAGAATAATTCGTGATCAATTAATTTTATAATTTATAATCGATAAATAAGTTGTAACGTATAAAATTTGTGATTTGTGATTATGACGTCAAGTAATTATGACTAATACGTAATTATGATCATAAATTGTATAATATTATGACTTTAATATATTTAATTAACAAAATTTTATTTATTTATTTATTTGATAAAATTTAATTATGACCAAAATTTTAAAATAAATTTCTTAATTTTGAAATTGTATTATTCAAACACCTTAAATATTTATTGTTCCATTTAAAGCACACGAGTTGACAAGGAGTCCGGGCCCACCCTTATTTCCATCTACGAATAACAAGGCTGATCTTAATAAATTTCTTTGTTATCTTGAAATAATTTTGTACTCTAAAAATGTTTCTTTCCGAAGCAAGAAAACCTCTTTACAATTCCACTTGATACCATAAAAGCCGGCATCAAGCTATTGACGCTTTATCCAATCTTTTCGATCAGAATGGATTTACTTTGATAGGAATGAACTTACAAAAGTTCGACTAAACAACGCACATAAGAAAATCTTCAAAATGTGACAAGCAGGACGGACTTTGAAATTTTGGATGTCTTGTGCGACATTTTAAAATTGGTACCCCTTTCATGAAATTTTTTTTTTAAATATTATATCATCGCAAAATTATGATATTTAAATACTGTTTATTTTTTTAAATGCCGTGAATAAGAAAATTACAAATAAAGTTCAAAAGCACTTCCCAAAATTCGTGTCATTGACAAAGAACCATCCAAACTCATAAACTTTTCGTGCAATTCCATATGAGAAAACCTTGAAATCAGAAACATCAAATACATTGTGCAAACTTTGAAATACAATAAATCATGAAAAAATATTTCTTCTCGCATTTTTAGAAGTAAATAACTAATTAAACTTTCGTTTCTAGCAAATCTTGTTCAATAGATATCAAAACTAGGTCATTCATTTGTTCTTATAACATGGTTGATTGTAAATAAGATTTTTTAAGTTCAATTTTGAAAATTTTCTTTCCGTGGTTGCAACAGTAACATTAATTGTCAATAATATTCTATAATAAATAAATGTATTCGAAAAGCTATCCAATCTTTTCAAATAAGTCAATATATCAAAAGTTGTCTTTATTTCTTTTGATATTTCGAATAAGTTAATATATTAATAATTGTCTTTGTTTCTTTTGATAAAAGATTTCGCAAAATTTTCAACTATTGAAGCAAATCTTAACCATCAAGATCGCAAAAATTTACACGTCTTAGAAGAATATCAAGATGATCACAACATGCTTTCAAATCGACATCATCCAATGCGTTTAATTTGTCAAAAGAAAATAGAAATCCAATTTTTTTTTCATATGACAAGAATTGATCGAACATTCATTCAAATGATCCAATTGCTTGATCTACTATATAAAGAAAATAATTGATTGTGAAAGAATCTTCAAGTGATTGTGTGTCATTTACAGTGACATTTTCATCAAAATGTTTCTTTCCACGAATTATATTTTTTCATCTTTTCCCTTTTTCTTGACATTATTTAAAGTAGGATACTATTTAAAAAAATTATAACTAGTCAATTACATTATTCTTAACTTTAGTATCTTATGCAATTGCAGATCATACAAAATCAAATGCATACAATTAGTAAATAAATAATCCACAAACGAAAATAGTTAAGCATAATACATTGAAATTAGCTATGAAGGATCCTAAACCACCTAAATTATTTCTCTTACTTTAATAAAAATGTCTTGGTATGATATGTAATTAGAAATAAAAAAATACAATAATATTAAATAAAAATCATCATTTATCTATCTTTTAATTGTGCCCTTTAACTAAATATAGTAATTAAAATTTTAATTTTTAAACTTAATTAATATTTTAA